TCCTACCATTATGTGATGACACCCCCGGAGGCCCAGCTGTAAAATTTCTCTCTTTGTACTTTTTCTCTTTATTTCTCAGATCGGCCAACACTTGGGGAAAATAGAAACAATGTATGTTGAAATATTGGGGGCTGGTTCCCCTGATTCCTGTGAGAAACAATGCAGAGTAAAAACAACTACATGGACTTCAGAAGTTTGAGTTTTCCAACAATATTTACTGTGTATGGTAGTTTGCCTCCAAAAGTGGAGCAGGACTTGGTCCTAGTCAAGAAACTGGCAATATATGCCTAGTTGGATTTCAAAATTACTATGGACCAGCTATTGCTCTATGCCTCCTTCTTCCCTTGAATGGAATGGGATCTCTAGTGCTTATCCTATGTCCCACCATGGAACATTGGCTGTGTGGGGACAGATAACTTGTCTCTTTAGTTTCCGTATCTTCAGATCAAGAGAGATTGTACTCAAGGAGCCTCATCTGCACCTGGACTTGATTTAGATAATGAGATCCCAGACTTCAAGCTGATGCTATAGTACAATGAGATTTTTTAAGGCCTTGAGTGAAGATAAATATATTTTGTTCATGGGAAGGATATAAAATAATGGAGTCAAAAGGCAGGTAGATGAAGAAAAAGCATTTGAGGGACTCCAGTTTCCATTCACGATAAAAAATACTCTCAGCAAACTGGGAATAGAAGAGAACCTCTCAAGCTGATAAAAAATATCTACAAAACACACTATTATCATGGTTGATAGTGAAAGGATGAAGATTTTGACTCTGAAGTCAGAAATATGACAAGAATTCCTGCTCTTATTACTTCCCTTCAACATTGTGTTTTAAGTCCTAACCAGTGCAAAAACGCACACACACAAAAATAAATAACATCCAGATAGGGAAGGAAGAGGTAGAACTTTTTAAATTCCCAGATGACATGATCATCTCTATAGGAAATCCTAACAAATCTACAAAAAAAAAGCTACTAGAATTAATAAGTGAATGCAGAATGGTTGCAAATATCAAGATACAAAAATCTTGTACTTCTATATATAAACAATGAACAATCAAAAATTGAAATTTTGAAAAACACCGGTTATGATAGCATCAAACAATATGAAGTGCTTATGGATAAACATGACAAAATATGTGCAAAACATGTACAGTTAATATACTGCTGAAATAAATTAAAGACTTAAATAGATGCAGAAATATTTCCATTGTTCATGATTCAAGAGATGCATATTATCAAGCTGTCAATTCTCTCCAGATTGATTTATGGATTCAACACGGTCCGAATCAAAATCCTAGCAGGGTTTTTTGTTGTTGTTGTTGAAATCAACAAGCCTATCCTAAAATTTACATAGACATGCACAAGACCTGGAATAGCTGAAACAATTTTGAAAAAGAACAAAGTTGAAAGATGCACACACCTGGTTCAAACTTGCTGTAAAACTATAGTAGTCGAGGTAAAGTGGTCTTGGCATAAGGAGAAACATAGATTGCTGAAATAGACTAGAGAATCCAGTAGTAGACCCTATGGATCGTATATAATGAATTGATTTCTGACCAAGATGCAAAGGCAATTCAAGTAGTAAGGATAATCTTTTCAACAAACAGTACTGGAACAATTGGACAGCAATAAGCAAAAAATGAACCTCAACCCTTACCTGACACCTCATATTAAAGTTAACTTGAAATGGATCAGAATTGTAATAGCTGAAACTACACAACTTCTAGATAAAGATATAAGAGAGAATCTTAGTGATCTCAGATTTGGCAAAGATTTCTTAAATAACAAATTACAGTTTATCAGAAATTTAAAAAGTTTAGCCAGGCATGGTGGCTCGCACCTGTAATACCAACACTTTAGGAGGCCGAGGCTGGCAGATTGTTTGAGCCTAGGAGTTGAAGACCAGCCTGGGCAACATGGTGAAACTTCATCTCTATAAAAAATAGAAAAATTAGGCAGTCATACTGGAATGCACCTGTAGTCCCAGATACTTCAGAGGCTGAGGTGGGGGGAATCACGTGAACCCAGGGAGGTCAAGTCTGCAGTGAGCCCTGGTCCCACCACTGCACTCCAGCCTGGGTGATAGAGCAAGACGTTGTGTCATACAACAACAACAAAAAGTTTACTGTTCAAAATGTTTTTCTTTTAATGAAAAAACAAACCACAGAGTGGGAGAAAATATTTGCAAAATATCTTTAACAAAGAATTTGCATCTAGACTATGCAAATAACTCTTACAATGTAATAATATAAAAACAACTCAGTTTTTTAAATGGCCAAACTATTTGAACAGGCACTTTATTTAAAAAGATATATAGAGGCAAATGATGACATAAAAAGATGCCCAACATCATTAGTCTTTAGGGAGATACAAATTAAAATCTCAATGAAATATCACTATATACTCACTAGCCTGGCTAAAATTTAAAAGGTCGACCATATAAAGTGTTGTCAAGGATGTGCAGCAACTAGAACTCTCATTCTCTGCTAGTGGAAATGTAAAATATACATTTAGAAAAATGTTTTGACAGCTAAAAGAAATTTCTAAAATTCTGTACTTAACAGATGATCTGGCCATCACACTCCTTGGTATTTACCCAAGATAAATAAAAGCACATGTTCACACAAAGTCTTGGGTCACAAATATTTGCATTTGTTTGTAGCAGCTTTGTTTGTAAGAGCAAAAAACTGGAAACACCTCTGGTATCCATTAATAGATAGAGGGGAGTCTAAGTCTCTTTGTAGGACTCTTAAGAACATGCTTTATGAATCTGGGTGCTCCAGTATTGGGTGCATATATATTCAGGACAGTTAGCTCTTCTTGTTGAGTTGAACCTTTTACCATTATGTAGTGCCCTTTACCTCTTTTTTGATCTTCATTGGTTTAAAGTCTATTTTGTCAGAAACTAGGATTGTGACCCCTGCTTTTTTCTGTTTTCCTTTTTCTTGGTAAATTTTTCCCCCATCCCTTTATTATGAGCATATGTGTTTCTTTGAATGTGAGATGGGTCTGTTGAAGAAAGCATACTGATGGGTCTTGACTCTTTATCCAGCTTGCCATTTTGTGTCTTTTAATTGGGGCTCTGTTGCAGGGACAGATCAGAGTTCTGTACATATAACCCTGGCTGGAGTTGCTGAAATTCCTGCAGGGAGGCCCTACCCAGTAAGGAGAGCTGGATCAGGGTTCCACTTAAGCAGTCTGGCCACGATTTCTGCACAGCAGCTGTGCTGCATTGTGCGAGACTCTTCCTCATCTGAACCACCTGGACTCCCTAGAACTGGCAGGCTAGAACAGCTGAGTCAACCAAACCGCAGAGATGGCGGCCGCCTCTCCCCCTGGGAATTTGGTCCATCTGAGGCCGTCTCCAACCTGTTGCTGCTGGCTGGCTGGAATTCCAGGTCAGTGGGGCTTAACCTGTGAGGCACCATGGAAGTAGGGCCTGCAGAACAAAGCTGCTTGACTCCCTGGATTCAGTCCCCTTCCCAGGGGGAAGGTACAGACAGATCTGCCACCTTGCTGGGATGCCCAGGACCAGAGTATGTAAAACTGCTGGGTCTCCATGTATACCTGAGCAGCTACTCTGCCAAGACTCCACACACCTCTGTGTATCAGACCCAGGGCCCTGGTGGTATGGGCTCACGAGGGGATCTCCTGATCCACAGGTTGCAAAGATCTATGGGAGAAGCATGGTTTCCCAGGGGAGGTCACACAATCACTCACCACTTCCCTTGGCTGGGGACAGTGGTTCCTTTGGCTCTGTGCCACTCCTGGGAGGACCCATCACCCCACCTGCGTTTCTTCATTCTCTGTGGGTCAGGTTGTCTGCCTAGTCAGTCCCAATGTGAGAATCTGTATATTTCAGTTGAAGGTGCTGAACACATAATGCATGTTTTCCTATGATGTCTGTTGTACTTAATGCAATGAATAAATGCTAATGACTTTAGATATTTGCAATGTTATATATTCCTGTTTACTTTTTAAATAAAAGTTCTTTTTCTGGATACAAGTTTGTTTTCTCTTTGATATTATAACTTGTATCCCATAATAGTTTTGGCAGACAAATGGTTTAAAATGTTACTCTTTCATTGCTTATAGAAATTTTATAGAAAATTGTCTTTTTTAATCTTTGTAGATAATAACCAATGATATGGGTCTTCAATTTTACAGATTAATAAACAGAAAGAGGACAAGGAAATGAGAAAAAAGTATGTCAGCTTAAGTGTCAAGGTTTGTATTTAAGTTTTTTCTCCTCTTTCTCTTTAATTTTGTGCTTCCCTGATTTTGGCATCTGAATTGACAAATCTATGTAGCATACTGAGGTTTTTCACTTTCCAATGTCTGAGTTTGAAAAACAAAGTTCTTGAAAGTGAGAGCAAGGCCGGGAGCAGTGGCTCACATCTATAATCCTAGTACTTTGGGAGGCCGAGGCAGGAGGATTGCTTGAGTCCAGGAGTTCAAGACCAGCCTGCGCAACATAGTGAGACTAACTCTTTAAAAATAAATAAATAAATAAAGTGGTGTAAGAAGTGTGAATGGGAAATCAGGAGCTGATTGTTGAGAACAGGGAGCAGAGAGTGAAATTGAAAGCCAAAAAACCAGCTAGTGGGGCATCAGGAGGAGTGCATCCTGATATCCTCATCCTTCCTACTATTTCCCTACCTTCTTCCTACCTAGATACAGGCCTCGAGCTGCCACCCACCCCTCTCCACATAGACCTCACCATTCCAGGGGATTCCAAAGAGCATTGATTTGTTGGTGTGTTCTTCTTAGGACATGAGGATTAAAGGGGGAGAGTGGAGAAAAAAGCTCAGCCTACCAATCAAATCCTGCCAGGGGAGATTGTGGGCCTGGGAGCAAGAACAAATCCACACGCTCTAGGACTGAAAACCTCAGCTCTGCAATTTTAGCTCAGGGGAGGGGAAGAGTGTGAAAGAGAGGGACACAAATCCAAGAAACAAAATAAGAATAACAAAGTTGTTTACTTTTGTGTGGCAGGCTGCAAAATCAGCCAAGGAGAGAGAAGCCTCTTTGTCCCCAAGGTCCAAGTCTCCACCCAGCACCACAGCTTCGAGTCCACATTCTGCGACCATGAGTATATCATCTACTGGGGCCAAGAAAGCTAAGACTCCAAAGCAGGCTTTAAAGGAAGAGCAATTTGTGGTAAGAACTGCTTCCATGACCACACACTGTCCACCTTCCTCTGCACAGGGGCTCCTGTCTCTTTCGCCCTATCCATGAGGCCTGCAGTCTAAGCACACCTCGTTCTCGCCCCTGAGTGGGGGGCTCCAGCTGCCTATTTCTAAACCAATATGTCAGGGTGAGCCTCCTTCACTTTCCCAAGATGAAGTCATCAGTATCCCCAGCCAGGCAGTTGAGTCACTAAGCCCCAGTGGGTCTCTATTTAATTACCAAAATAGAGAAGCTACATCCCAAGCACTTTCTAGGATATACAGTCTCAAACTCATGACTGCCCAGTGTCCATCAGAAGCTCACTGAAGATTCCCGGAAGGACACACAGGTATCCAGTCCATTTGCTCATGCAGGATTCCTCAGTCTACAACTGGAGGAAATCATGCTGTCAGCGACGTGCATGCATGAACTCTATGCTGCTGCTCTCCTTTTCTACCTTTCCCCGATCATCACAACTGTTTTTGCAGGAGCTAGGGTGGCACCCTTGGTCTACATAAAAAGGAGGTGCTAAGAAGTAGCTCTGGGACACTTAGCTCACTGTGGGCTAATTGTATGTATATTTATGAGGCACTGCTCACTACATTGTACAACACCTCCCATCATCATGACCCTGTGTCTCTATAGCCTTCTGCTCTTAGCTATAAGGATAGTTGTATTTTCTACAACTCTTAGTTGATCTGTGGACACTGTGAATTGTGTAAGTAGTCAAGGCTCCTTTTAGAAGGCATAGAACCCTATTGGTGACACATATGGCCAATGCCAAGTGCTTCACATAGAGTCTCTCCACTGCATATTTTGCTCTCTCAAAATCTTTGTCCTGTTCCTACATGTTCCCTCGTTCTTCCTTCTTCCCCTACACAGGGCAGAATTTGCATTTCTCTCACTTAGAGCATGGAGGAGTGGAGCAGAATTGTGCACGCTGTGTGCATCCTTGCTCCAAAAAGGGGGAAGGCAAGGTGCAGACCTCTTGTGCCCACTCGCCAGGAGATGGACCACTCCTCATATCCACAGAGCAGGAGGGAGCAGGTAGAGCAAGGCCAGGCTTGTTGTGCTAATGGAAGTCACACTACTGGGAAGAGAAAAAGGATCCTCCTAGGTGAGCATTTCCACTTTGCAGAGGGTTAGGAAGTGTAGACAATTGGAAATCAGTGTAATTTCCCAAGGGAAAAAACTGACACTGAAAGAGGGTAAATTTTGCATAGAAATGACCAGCGATTAGGTTCTAGAAGTAAGATTTTTGTAACCCAGATTTTGGGAAGTATTTTTTTGGACCACACACACAAAAAGAACTGGCCCGCTGTGCAATGCTGCGTGCTGACCTGGTTGGGGAGACCGGCCACGCTGAGTGAGGGGCCCAAGACTGGGTCAGCTGCCATGAAATCGGTCATGTGTCAGGGGTCTGTGGTCTGAGGCTCTGAGATGATGGCTGGGAGGACTGCAGAGCCCGGTCAGTCACTGGGGCAGAGCAGCTGAGCCTCTTGTCCTGAGGTCACAGCAGCAGGGGGCAGCTGCAACAGAAGGTGCCCCGGTCCCCACAGCAACCCGAAGGCTGGAACTAAATCCTAGAATTCCAGTTTGGAAGCTCCAGTGTCCCCAGTTTACAGATAGAAGCTGAGCTTCCAAAGTCACAGCCACAAGGGGCAGAGATATTCCATGTTGTCCCCCACCAAAAATGCAAAATAAAGGACAAAGACTGACAAATCTCTGAGAAGGTATCATTTCAACAGGCTTTTCTCTTTGTGTAACAATCTTTCCCTGTGACTGTAATGATTGTGGCCTGGGTATCTCCAAAGCTTACCAGAACATTTTGTCAGCTGAAGGAGTCTCTGAAGTTAATATGTAACAATAAGTCAAAAATTGGATGGGAGGAGGCGAGAAATTACTTAAACTGTGGTTCCCTATTTATATGAATTGGCTCAATTTTTAAATGAAGTATGTTTTTCTGGTTCATTGTTATTACTGTCACTTACACTTTGTTAACAATAATACTCCTATTGTTCTAAGTGCTCCCTTCTATCCCCTTCCACTGTGGTTTTTTCTTCACCGTATATATACACAGTCTAGCTATAATTTTCCTGCTCCTCTCTTTTAAATATTTAACTCCATGGAGGTAGCTGGACCTCTTAAAAATTGTCTTTAAAGGGTTTTATAATATTTACCACGTGTAAGTGACCACATGGAGGGCTTGTTACAGGAACTTTGTACATCAGTCATTTAACGTATCTAATTAATCATACTTATTTTTTGAAATCTGTGTCATTCGGTGGGAACAGCACACGTGCTACCCACAGCGAAGCACACAGTGATAAACTGAGTGTTTAGCCAGTCTGAAAAATACGATATGAACATTAGTCGTCTGATATTTATTAATGAACGATTTCACAACATAAAATTTGTATTTGTACAGTGCTTTTATGTAAAGTTTGTTTTTTGATATGTGCAAAACATTTCAAATACTCAAGTTTCACATATCAAGGTTAAAATAGATTCTCAGGTTTTCCTCTCCCCACCTTGAGTAATTAGTTAATTAGGTTGCACCCAATACATGCTTCCATGGAGGACTTCTGAGCTTCCATGGGGTAACCTGGTCTGTACTGATGAACATATGGTGCATGCTTTGATCTGCAGAAAGAATCAGGGCCCTTCTGTGTGGGAAATGGGACATGGGAGAAAGTCAGTCGTGTTCCCATTCTTAAGAGTTCTCTCAATACAAAGCAATTTGTACAGATAAAAGACTTCAATAAAAACTCTAGAACTTTTTTTTTCTTTAACATTCAAGAAGTATTAGGTAAAATAGTATTGCAGCCATTTTGCAGTTATGACCATAGTCACCTTGCAAGCTAGTGATTTTTTAAAAACTTGTTATTATGGGATATAGAATTATTACTATAGGTATATAATATTATAGGCTAGACAGTTGAAGAAAAGATCTTTTCTTCTGAAATTTACTATTTTTCTCCTAGATACAACTCTTATTTGGTTAAATTGCACATTTCAGATCGCTCTATTAGAGAAGAAAACGTTATAATCTGCTTATTGTTTCATTATTTCATTCTTTTTTCCCTTGGCTTGGCTTGATGCAGCAGGCAGTTAAGAGAGCTGCAGAGCAGTGTGGGAAAGCCAGCACTTTACCCGTTGTTTATCCGGCAGCGCTAAGCAATGCAGTAATACAGAGATAGGACAGTCCTGTACATGTGCATGGTCTTCAGAGGTTGTCAAAGGGTATTTACTATATTTTGATGGGTTATGATGACACAAAAGAATTTTCCTTATCATACTTGATCTTTGTTTTATAATATGGATAACCATAAAATGTAGAGATAAAATGTCAAAATCATTGAAAATCACATTTTTCATTTATCACTAAAATGAATTCATCTTTAGGTTCTGCTCTCAGAGAGCAAAATTGAAAATGTGAGTAATATATTTAAAATCCAGCTGAAAGGTGACTTTTATCTTCTGCCCTATTTTATGCTGGGTAGTTCAATAATAAATTAAATAAATACTTTCAGTATATTTGGAACAGAAAATACTCTAGTGAAAATAGTGTTTAATGTTTGTGAGATACATGAAAAGATGTCAAAAACCAACTGAAAAGGGGGTTTATGCTTGTGCTTTTATTGATTTTGTTGGGAAACAATTATAACATTTTATTTGTGGCATTCACTAGGTTTGAGCGTAACTTAAATTGAGGACTGAAGATTTTGCTGTGAAATCAGGAATAGATAAATTCAAGGTTTGGATAATGTACTTATTCTTCCCTACGCACTGTCAGCCGTTGGGACAGATGTGAGGTCCTGACCACAGATGATAGCGACTTGGTGGTAGCAGAAATATCATCCCTGACATTCAGGAGCCCACAGACAGTGAGGTGACCCTCTTCCCCACCCCCGCCCCTCATATGGTGTTGCTTGATTCCATTTGCTGGGGCTTCAGCTGTGAATTTCTCTCCAGTTCCCAGTGGGAGTCAAGGCCGGTCCTGAACCCCAGGTCATTTGGCCAGACTCTTGACACTACCCAGACGTGGGTCTTTCCCCCGGAAGGCTGAGCATCTGACATGCTGTCATTCATCCTGACTGCCATCGTCACATCTGCCAGTGCTGCTGCCTGGTGTATTAAATCGCTGCTCACCAGAGTCAAGCCAGAGGTGGCTGCACCCCTCTAGACGCTGGCAGTGGACTGTTGACCACTGTCTTTGGATTTAGCCTTGCCAAACTTGTCAGTTTCTCCAACCCCAGTCTCTCCAGATCCCAGCTTCCTCCTCAAACCCTGGGAATAAGTCTATGTGAGTTATAACACATCAATTTTGTTTTCTTTAGGAACTAATTTTCATGAAGGATGGTTCTTCAACCTTTTTTCATTTAACACTCTCTTAACTTTCTTTTCCTCAATGGAATCTCTGCTTGTTCATCATGAAAATTGATCCTATTAAAATTCTTTGTTTTCTCTTACTGATTCATCTATTACTATTTCTTCCCATTTGCGTATCTGAACAATGTTAGATAACCGTGACATCTCACCAAATTGATATATTGCTTGCCAAATCCAGAGTTCTTAAGTTGTGCTAGCGTATGCAGCTTAATTAGGGAATAAAGGTATACTTTTATTTTAGGCTTTAAAAAATCTTTAAAACAGTCCAGGGGTGGCTGGTCACACCTGTAATTCCAACACTTCGAGAGGCTGAGGTGGGAGGATCACTTGAGGCCAGGAGTTTGAGACCAGCCTGGGCAACATAGTGAGACCCCACCTCTACAAATATTTTTTAAGTTAGCCAAGTGTGTTAGTGTGTGTCTGTGGTCCTAGCTACTCAGGAGGCTGAGGTGAGAGGATTGTTTGAGCCCAGGAGTTCAAGGCTGCAGTGAGCTGTGATCCCACCACTGCATTCCAGCCTGGACAACATAGCTAGATCCTGTTTCAAAACCAAAAAAGATGTCTTAGAAACAGTTTGAGGATCTCCTCTAGCAATCTCAGTGTGGGAATCATTTCTTTGTTGTGTGTGTGTGTGTGTGTGTGTGTGTGTGTGTGTGTGTGCAGGTATTGAGATACTGTATCTCAGCCCTTGTATTAACTGGACTCCCCAAATTTTCATGGCATTTTCTCTTCCAAATCTGTAAAAGAAAAAAGTTATCTATACCTAATACCATGAAGCACTATGGAGTCCAGTTAATCCAGTGGCTGAAAATATACAGTGAAAATTTATTTGAATTCATTCCACCAGAAATGATGGTCACAGGCCTAAACAACCTCGAGTGTGATTCTGGTGGTCTGTCTTCCTTGTGGAGAATTTGCAAGTCAAATTCAATTACAATTTATAAGATTTCTGTCTGGTTTACATTAAATAAAGTAAAAGAATATTTGAAAGGTCTTTTTGTGTTACAATTGGAAAGATTTCAATATGAAGGTTTAGATTTTTATGCAACCACTGGAAAAGTTAGGAAAGCAAAAATCAGGAAAGTAACATAAAAAAGATTTCAGGCCGAAGCATCCAAGCAGCTGATTGATAAGAGGTCAATAAGAAGGCACTACAATCCATAGGAACCTCTGGTGGGAAATTTCCCACCAAATAGCTTAGTCTTCAGCCGTAAAGAGAGTGTTTCTTATGAGCTCCCAGGAAAGCCACTTAAAACTCATATCTGTCCATGAATCTTGCTCTAAATGCCTTTGGATAATCTCCAATATTCCCATCAAAGGTGCAGTTCTTTAGAGTTCCTAACATGTTATATGCTTCAAAAATTAAAGTTTAATATAAATATTTCCATGTGACAAAAATTTATATATTTGTCACAGCAAGATTTGCATTTGACACTTTTATTTATGCCATTTCTAGAGCTTTCATTTCTTTGTGTAGATCTAGGTTTCTGTCTGGTGTCAGACAACTTCTTCCTTTTGGTCTGCTGGCAATGAATTCTCTTAGTTTTTGTTTGTGTCTGGAAAAAGACCTTTTTTGCCTTTATTTTTGATAGATATTTTTCTGAAATATTTTCTGAGTCTGAGTTGACAGTTTTATTCTTTTGATACTTTGAAGATATGACTACACCCTCTTTTGGCTTGCACAGTTCCTGACAAGAGTATGCTGTAAGTTTTAACTTTTTTTCTCTCTTTCTAATGTCTTTTATTTTGGATTGACTTCAAGAGTTTCTCTTTCTCTTTGCTTTTCAACAGCTGGATAACAAAGTATCGTTGGTTGTTTCTTGTCCCTTCTCCTTCATCTCTTTATTTCTATTTATCCTGGACTTCTTGAATTTGTAGTTTGATATCTTTTATTAACTCCTAACCATTACCTACAATTATGTCTTTGCCTTCAAATATGTCTGTGCTAGACTGTTTGATGTTGTTCCATAACTCTTACATGATCACCTCATTAAATTTTGAACTACTTCTTTTCTTTGTTTCAGTTTGGAGAGTTGTCTTTTTTACCTACCTTCAAATTCACTGATTAATTTTTCAGTTATATTGAATCTACTGATGAGCCCATCCAACAAATTCTTCATCTTGATTGTTGCCTGGTTTATTTCTAGTATTTCCATTTGATTCTTTTTACATTTTCCACCTCTCTGATGGTATTCCCTATCTATTGCTCATCATGAATGGTGTTCACCTTTTCTCCTAGGCTCTTTAACATTTTGATTATAGTTCTTTCAAAGTCCTTATCTGATAGTTCCAAGATATGGGTCATCTTTGAGTCTGGTTCTGTTTATTGCTTTGTCTCCCAACAATAGATGTTTTTGCCTTGCCTTTTTGTCTGTCTTTTGTTTGGTTTTGTTTTGACATTTTAATTTCCTTTGAATATAAGTCAGTTTTTGCAAGCTAGAAAACAGAATCAACCTAACTCAATCTAGTCTTCTAGGGATCCAGGCTGAGTCTTGCAATCTTTAGCAGAATGCCATCATAATACTAGGTGCTAGCGCTAGGATTATAAACTCTAAATAAGAACCACTTATCTGCATTTTTCATTAGGAAACAGCCAAAAGTACAATCCTTAAAAGCATGATGTACAGAACAGCTTGATGTACAAAGGACAGAATGACCCAAACTGTATGCTGCCCAGTCTATTGGTGAACCAAATCAGAGCTCACTGAAGATTGGTAAACAGAGAAAGTGTTTATATTTTGAAAACTTGCTCTGTGGTTTGAAAAATTCCTGGATGCTGTCAATAAGAAAGCAAGTGAAAAATATAACTGATGTACTCTCACTGAAATTTGATTTTAGCATCATTTTCCACTAGAACATGAAGGTAGAAATAAGTGTAGGAGATAAGATACTTACGTATTCTAAAAATAAATTACTTAGTAATTTTAAAAAGACATACTATATTCTTTCATTTGCTACAAGAAAAAATTGACAATGAAGACTATTTAAAAGAAGTGTTGAACTCTAAATAGGATGGTGAAGGCAACACATTCCATTACAGAATAACTTCCCATTTTTCCAGACAATGAACATTGCTGTTCCTCCATGTTCCATGTTCCTGGGGGAAAACCGTGTCGGGAGCTTTTTGTCAGGGTCAGGAGATGAAAAATAGACCGTGTCCTAATGAGCTGGTTGTAAGTCCAGATAACATATTTGGAATAGACCCATAAAATCTGGCCAATGTTTTATTAAACATCTGCAAACTACAGAATTCTTTAACCCTTAGACATAGTTTCTGCTCAGAATCTTAAAACCGGGTGCAGTTCCACTGTGACTCCTCAGGGCTGAGGTGGGTGCTAGTCATCAAAGTCTGGAAGGTCATGGTAGGAGTCATCCTGGTAGCTTTTGGATGCATTCAGCAGGGACACCAAATTGCCAGTGATCAGAACTGGAACAACCTAGTCTGTCCCCACTTTGCTGATGTAGCCTGACAGCAGGAGGGAGCCTTTGATAATAGAAAGGTGCCAATCAAAAACAGCACAGTGGCGACTGCAATGGCCTTCTAAGGCATCTTAGGAAGGCCTTTTTTAAACCTTAGGAGGTCAGTGTAGCCATTGTGTGTGCTGGAGAGCCTTGAGATTTTACTTTACTACTAGGGATTCCAGTAGCCAAATTGGTATGGGATGGCATCATCACACGCTGACACAGCTACAGTTGGAGCAGCATGCCAGGCCACCTGTGCACCGAGAGCTCGCCCATGGTTAGCAGTGGGGATGCCAGAGGCCACATGGTACAACCTCCTAACATGGCTGGCACCATCCAGCCTGTTCCAGCAAGCTGCCTCATATTTCTGATTGAATGCTGGACATCATGTGTAGAATAGTAGAGATTGAAATAAATTGTATTCACACTTGGAAATAACCTGTCTCTTATGAGACCATGGATACACACACCCATACACATATGTGTGTATACATATATGTGTGGGGGGGGATGTGTATGACTACTGTGACAGGTTGGGCCAATCTAACCAAAGTTGAGGTGAGATTGGTTGTTGCTATGGTTACCTCTAGTGGACCACCGTCTTTTTTTTTTTTTTTTTTTTAAATAATAAAAAAAGAGAGTCTGGCTCTGTTACCCAGGTTAGAGTGCAGTGGTGTGATCTCAGCTCACGGAAACATCTGTCTCGTGGATTCAGGCCATCCTCCCACGCAGCTGAGACTACAGGCACATGCCACTATGCCCAGCTAACTTTTGTATTTTTTTTTTTTTTTTTGAGATGGAGTCTCGCTTTGTCACCGAGGCTGGAGTGCAGTGGTGTGATCTCAGCTCACTGCAAGCTCTGCCTCCCAGGTTCACGCCATTCTCCTGCCTCAGCCTCCCAAGTAGCTGGGACTACAGGCACCCGCCACCACACCCCGCTAATTTTTATGTATTTTTAGTAGAGACGGGGTTTCACCGTGTTAGCCAGGATGGTCTGGATCTTTTGACCTCGTGATCTGCCCCCCTTGGCCTCCCAAAGTGCTGGGATTACAGGCGTGAGCCACCGCGCCCAGCCTAACTTTTGTATTTTTTATAGAGGTGGCATTTTGCCATATTGCCCAGGCTGTTCTCAAACTTGTGAGCTCAAGGGATCCTCCCACCTTGGCCCCCCAAAGTGCTGGGATTACAGGTGTAATCCACTGCACCAGGCGACAGTTCTGATATTCTTTTTGTGGAGGGTGTGTGACTAGCGTGGGAGCTGGGGTCACAGAGCGCTTTTCTCTGAATACCACTCTACCCTCAGCTTGTAGAAGAACTTGTCCACCTATGCCACAGAGAAGATCTGCCTCCATGCTGTTATCCCTGCCTCAGTAGTGCATTGCTGTTGCTTGATGCTCCATGAGTGAAGGTAGAGAGGATTCTCTGCGGTTCTAATCCAAACTCGGACTTTCAGAAGTGTCATGTGCCCAGGCCCCAAAGGTGGACTTTCTCAGCATTCTTGCCCCTCTTCCCTGGGGCAGTTCACTCTGCCTTGTATCTGAAGTTGGTCTCGGGCAGGAGTTTCCTGTCCTTCCTGCAATAGTCGGACACCTCCACTTGGTATTGGCATAGAGTTGAAGGTCCAAGACAATTACCATTCCCCTTCCCCAGGGGAGCAAACTTTTTCTTCTTTTATTTTTCCCATTGACATAATATATCTCCATCTTTTTTTTTTTTTTTTTTTGAGACGGAGTCTCGCTGTGTCGCCCAGGCTGGAGTGCAGTGGCGCGATCTTGGCTCACTGTAAGCTCCACCTCCCGGGTTCACGCCATTCTCCTGCCTCAGCCTCCCAAGTAACTGGGACTACAGGTGCCCGCCACCATGCCCGGCTAATTTTTTGTATTTTTAGTAGAGACAGGGTTTCACTGTGTTAGCCAGGATGGTCTTGATCTCCTGACCTTGTGATCCGCCCACCTCGGCCTCGCAAAGTGCTGGGATTACAGGCGTGAGCTACTCTGCCCGGCTATCTCCATCTTTAAGTTGTGAACAAGAGACTGTGCTACCCACCCCAGCAGTTGAAAACTTCCTTCTGAGAAAGGAGTGGCCTGGGAGAAATAAATGGGATTTGATACCTAACACTTCTTCCCAGCATCAACCACTGATCACCTTCTTTGAGTCTGGTTGGCCAGAGAGTTTGCTTCCTCTCTCCCAGAGGCTTAAGACTTTCACATCCTAGGAAAGAAGGACCCAGGAAACGTGATTTTCCTGTAGTAGCAGCTGATCCCTTCCTCAAGTCTGCACCATCAACAGTGGCTCTTCAAAATTGCTCTGCCCTCAGCTTTTCTCATGAGTATCTGGTAAGGGACACGAAAAAACATAACTTGTGAGTGAATGCAAGCTTCTCTTTTAACATGTGCCGCCAGCTACTTCAGACTGCCCTGCTCACCAACATTTGGTCTTCAGAAGTGCTTTCTATTTTAGCTCATTCTACTTACCAGCTTGTATTGAAGCTGGCATGGTGCTGCTTCCGCTATAGATGAGACCTATGAACTGTTCATGGGTCTCGTCTCTTCTCCGAGGGTCTTGTTCCTCTTTGGAATTTAGGTTACCTGAGTGTGACCCCAGCTCTCTGATGGGTTCAAGAAAAGTTGTGATTTTGTAGTTTATCTAGATTTTTCTTGTTTTTAATGTTGGAATGGCATTTTTTACTTCCTAAGTGGGAGCCAGGAGTCTGAATTTTTTAAATAAAATGGATACAGGGCCAGGCACAGAAGCTTATGCCTGTAATATTCCAGCACTTTGGAAGGCCCAGGCAGGAGGATTGCTTGAGCCCAGGAGTTTTAGACCAGCCTGGGTAACATAGCAAGACTTCTTCTCTACAAAAAATACAAAAATTAGCCGGGCATGGTGGTGCACACCTGTAGTTCCAGTTACTTGGGAGGCGGAGGTGGGAGGATCACTTGAGCTGGGGAGGTGGAGGTTGCAGTGAGCCAAGATCATGCCTCTGCACTCCAGCCTGAGCCATGAAGCAAGACTCTGTCTTGAAGAAAAAAACCCAGAAAACTGATATATACTTATTATACAAAATTTGCTCAATGAAGAAATGCCAAAAGAAGAAAATTTTTAAGAAAATCCTGCCACCCAAAGATAATCACTGAAAACTTCTCTTCACCACCCTTTCAGACAAGTCTTGATGCAGATTCTCATTTTCAACAGGATACAGATAACATCGTTCCATACCGTTGAATTTATATAATCAATTATATGTGCTATGTGTATTTCACCCCACAGAAGTAGCACAATTTACATAACCAATTCGTATCAATTTACCAGTGCCTTCCTGAGATATAGTTTCTTTCTTTCTTTTTTTTTTTTTTTTTTGTTTGCTGTTATAAACAATGACTTCCTCATGTTTAATAGACACATTCCTATCACTGAAGTGCCCTGGTCACAAATTTTTTGGAGTGAATAATTTGACAGATGTGTATTCTGCTTTTGCATAGCTGACTTCCTGCAGTGAACACCTGAACACAAGATCTAGGATGGTCTAGAGCCAGTTGAGAAAGCCAGGCCCAGACAGACTTTTGTGGCCTTCTGAACCTTTAAGACAGGCTTAAGAGTTGCATATAGCCTGGATCAGCCTAAATCCTGTACGGCTTCACAGTCCAGTCATTCTACCAAGAAGCCTCAGAGCCCCTTGGCAAACATGGAGTGGCACCTTTGAGGACATCAAATGAGGAAAGTCTTGTCCTATTTTTGAAAGATTTGCCTACCTTAACAATTTTGTTAGAAGAAAATTCACAAGTGATATATGCAGATAAATGTTTTGTTTTGATTTTTGGCCCCTCTCATGACTAGTGTTTCACTGCACAGAGCCTCATATCTTATTCTCAGTATTCCCAATTCTCAGTCTCTTCTCTCCAAATTGTAAGTGCATGAGGTTGGTCCTCATTTCGTGTGTTTCTATCAGCTCCTCCACTCCCTGGCCACCTCCCACCCACTGGCACATTACTGGTGTTCAAAAGTAGTTATTTGCATGGCAGATTAAAAAATGTTAATATGAGAGTCAAAGTGATTGAGGTTTTAAAGAGGAAAGATCATTCTTCATCATGATGAGTCAGAAAGACTACTTTAGTGGTAATATAAATATATTCAATGATTTAAAGGATATAGAGGTAAAAGACAAAATACCTTTCATTAAGCCCAGAGAAAATGCCTAAGTTTCATAAGAGAGATGTTTGTGGAAATTAAATGTACTGACTCTTGATAAGAAAAAGAAAACAGAGATGTGAGGGTAGGATAAGGAATGTAGTCAATCTTATGGCAGTTAATAAACATAATTTGCTTCTTCTGTTAATACAAACCTTGGCTACTGATTCTAATTTAGAATAGTATTTTGTTAAATTTTTAAAAATATGACATAAATGCTTAAAAATAGGAAGCGAATTTAAGAATCATAACTTGTTATAAATGAACCTTTATTTCTTAATTTTGTGAATTTTTATAAATACATAAACAAATTCAAAAGAGAATGAGAAATATTTATAATAAATTATTTTAAATCACGGCCGGTAGTGGTGGCTCACACCTGTAATCCCAGCACTTTGGGAGGCCGAGGCGGGTGGATCACCTGAGGTCAGGAGTTCAAGACCAGCGTGGTCAACAAGGCAAAACCCCATCTCTAATAAAAATACAAAAAATCAGCCAGGTGTGGTGTCAGGCATCTGTAATCCCAGCTACTTTGGAGGCTGAGGCAGGAGAATCACTTGAACCCGGGAGGCAGAGGTTGCAGTGAGCTGAGATCTGTGCCATTGCACTCCAGCCTGGGCAACAAGAGTGAAACTCTGTCTCAAAAAAACACACATTTTGTTAAATTACAATATGTTATTATCTTTACAATTATTTAATTTGTGTTTGTGTTTTCCTATTTAGAAAGTTAATTACTTTTATTTTAATATTAACATTCATTTTCACCTCAATCTATTATCAGTCCAGTGTTTGCACCTGTCAATGAAGTGAGCACATAAAGACCAGTGTGTATATTCCAGAGAAAGTGGAAGGTCAGCAGCTGGCAAAACAAAATGACGGTTTAATGTGGACAGAGCCAGGATTCAATAGACCATGTTGCAGCAAAGTTGAAAGTTCAACTCGAACTGGAGAGCAAACACTGTAGTCTACATGTGATGCTTTTTTCTTTCTTTTTTTAATGAAAAGAGACGTTATCTTCATCATCATAGTAGTGTTGTCATTTGAAGAGATTGAATAATTATTTGCTTTACAGAAGATAGACTTTAGAACAGACTTATCTCTAGTTATTACATAGTTGATCATCGTATGAGAGCTGGGAAAAGGGAGCCTTAAAAATTGGAACTAATTTTTACTGTACATAAATTTAAACAGGGTTTTTTTTTTTTATGAGCATTCAGTCACCGATGTAACTTTGAGTATAGTGAAATAAGTATATTAATGTCTTTCTACATGGAAACTTATTTTGTTCTACTGATTTATTTTCCTAATTTTCTGGGAATTAATTTTTAAAATTTGGGTTAACTTTTTTTTAGCATAATGGCAAATGTTCTCCCTGACCCTGGGCCTAGGGATCTTCCCCTGGTGATTTCCTCGGACTACTTACTGTTCATCAGATGGTAGTGAACTCACTGTCTGCCTGCTGTACGCTGGGCAAAGAGGTGGTTCAAGTGGTTTGTGCCCTTTGAGAACAAATAGGTCGAGGAATTCCAAAAAGTATCCATTGCATGTCACTTTGGTGACCCCCACTTTTTTGATGCCAAGGAAGGCTAATGATAACTAAGACTTCTTGTTGCTTTTGTTAAGTTGGTGGTATTGTTTTTTTGGCTTTCTTTTTGGCTAGTTTACTGTCACATGGGTCTTGATAAGTGAGAGTCACTGTGCTTGTAGTGGTGGGTGATAGTTTCTTTTAAGAAGTTTGAGGTACTGTGTAGACAACTAAGGGAAGTGTTATTTGGGTAGTTATAGAACCACCAAAGGTCTCTCCAGGCTTTTGGGTTCTGATGGAGTAGGAGTTAGAGTTTAGATACCTAAGGTAGGAAAAATGGGCAGGTTCAGGACTAAGTCAGTCCTGAGGGTTCTTCTATCAGGTAAATCAGAATGGCAAGTCAAGCAATCCCATTATTGGGTATATAACCAAAGGAATATAAATAATTCTGTTATAAAGATACATGCACGCAAGTGTTCATTGGAGCATTATTCACAATAGCAAAGACATGGAATCAACCCAAATGCCCATTAATGATAGACTGGATAAATAAAATGTGGTATATATACACCATGGAACTATGCAGCCATAAAAAGGAATGAGATCATGTCCTTTGCAGGGGCATGAATGGAGCTGAAAGTAGTTATCCTCAGCAAACTAATGCAGGAACAGAAAACCAAACACCACATGTTCTCACTTCTAAGTGGGTGTTGAATGATGAGAACATGTGGACTATGGGAGGGAACGACACACAACTGGGGCCTGTTGGGGGGAGGCATAAGAAGAGGGAGAGCATCAGAAGTAATAACTAATGGATACTGAGCTTAATACCAAGGTGATGGATTGATTGTGCAGCAAACCACCATGGCACACATTTACCTATGTATCAAACCTGCACATCCTGCACATGTACCCCAGAGCTTAAAATAAAAGTTGAAGAAGAAAAAAAATGCCAAGTTAGCCATGCCGGGGGTGTGGGCTTCCATCCCTGATCACATGCTTTTCTCTGACTATTAGTTTCATGAATGGCCTTATCCAAATCTTTAGCTTCAACCCACATACTGAGGAATCCCAAATTATATATCTAGGATCAACCCATCTCTCAAATTCCAGGCCCTGTCTCAGTTGTTATGTTAGTCTGTTTTCATGCTGCTGATAAAGACATACCCGAGTCTGGGAAGAAGAGGTTTAATGGACTTTCAGTTCCACATAACTAGGGAGGCCTCACAATCATGGCAGAAGGCAAGGAGGAGCAAGTCACGTCTTACATGGATGGCAACAGACAAAGAGAGAGCGTGTGCAGAGAAATTCCCATTTTTAAAACCATCAGATCTTGTGAGACCCATTCGCTATCATGAGAAAAGACCCGCCACTATGATTCAATCATCTCCCACCAGGTCTCTCCCACAACACGTGGGAATTATGGGAGCTACAAGATGAGATTTGGGTGGGGACACAGAGCCAAACTAGTTGCCTATTACATGTTTTCATTCAAACAGGCCATGGGTACCTGAGACTCAAAGTGTTTTGGTAAATCTGAATTTATCAAAAACAAACAAACAAAAGGCTAGCACACAAAATTGTTCCAATTCTTATTGTTTGTTCTTAGTGAATAGGTTCATTCTCCATCTACCTGCCCAAATGAAAATTTCAGGCAGCTCTGTCCTCACTCAAAAAGTCCCCTAAATCTGACCTCTTTTGTAATTTATCTCAAATCTGCCTTCTCTACTTTAGCTCAATTTTGTTTTCTTTTGTATCTCCAGTGCTTAAACAATTCTTGGCATATAATAAGCATTCAGCAAATATTTATGGAGTGAACAAAGAGGAAAAGAAAAACACTTGGCCCTGCATGAAACAGTTAATTCAGGGAACAGACAAAAATTTAAAATATATTATTTCTATAAAAAATATTTTGGGAGACATTCAAGAGAAACTTTTTTCCATTAAGCAAGGACAGGCAGCTATGAAAAAGGAACAGTCTGAACCAAAGAACAATTTATTAAAAGGAACAAATAAAACTGAAAAAAAAGGCAATAGACAGGCTGAATAATAAAATTGACACAACTTAAGAATTAATAATCTGGAAGATAAAGTGAAGAAAATGTCCTAGAACATAGTGCAAAATGGCAGACAGAAATAACGAAAAAAGTTAAAATATGGAGGATAGATCCAAGAGATCTAGCACCTCTCTAATAGGATTTTTTTGAAAGCAAAACAGATACAATGGAAGTGAGACTATAATAAAATGCATTTTTAAAAAACTGGTATTATTAATAGGAAAATTGTTTTCAATGAGCTGCCGTGGTCTGATTGCAAATGCTACATATAAACACTGAATTATCTAAATTATATAAGACAGTGAAGACTGCCAGGGGACTATGGTTGGCATATTGTAAGTCTCAGTTCTCTTTCTCAAAGCTGCAGAAAAGCCACTTTGTTATGCATTAATTTGAAAATTTATATTTACCGTGTTTTATTTTCTTGCCAGGTAAGCTATACAGCATCTATTGGGACACATGAAGAAGAAAAGATGAAAATACCAGGATCTAAGGTGTAGTAATGACTAATATGACCATTATTATGAACCTAGTTATTGTTTATATTAAAAAGTAGCAATTTACTTAGAAAGTAGCAATGACTTTGGAAGCTACACTGAGAATTAGCCTTATGAAGAGACAGAGGACCTGATTGCCTCATTGGTATGATTCTGTAGCACATCCCTGCCACATCCACGGAAGTCTCTCTCATTCATGATATGCCTACAATTCATCTATTAGGGATTCATTCCTTTTGCTGAAACTTCATCCTCTTGCAAAATATAAACATTATTGATAAATGGCATAAAGCTCTACTGTGAGTTGGTAAGATCCTTTCTTGAGAACTGTTTTGATAGAAGGAGGAAATGAGTAACTGGGGGAAGCTGCTTCCTATGACAAAGAGATGGAGAGACCACAGTAAGTGAAAGAAAACACAATTTACAAAACACAATATACAATTTAGAAAAAGGGGCAGCTTGTGCGGCTGATGAAGATAAATCTTGGTTGCTTTGTAATATTGTTTAGAGCTAACTGCTTCTAAGTTCACCATTTACAGGAAATAGAGGCATGGGATTTTAAACCGTTTCTATGTTTGGTAATTTACAAGTAAATATAACTCATTGTTCTCTTGAAAAGAAATTTTTTTTTTGAGACAGGGTCTCGTTCTGTCATCCTGGCTGAAGTGTGGTGACGTGATCACAGCTCACTGCAGCTTTGACTTCCTGGGCTTATGTAATTCTCCCTTCTCAGCCTTCCAAGTAGCTGGGACTACAGGTGCACACCACCATGCCTTGCTAATTTTTAATTTTTTGTAGAGACAAGGTCCCACTATGTTGCCCAATCTGGTCTAAAACTCCTAGGCTCAAGCCATCCTTCCACCTTGGCTTCCCAAAATGTTGGGATTACAGGTGTGAGTCACCGTGCCCTGCCTCAAATTATTTTTGATAGTAGTTAGAATATATATACTATTTACAGAAATAGTCTTTTCAGATTTATGGAGAAACAAGATATATTGTTTGTGTAATTAACTTTGTGATATATTTTCTATTGAAAGGTTGAAGACAAACAAGCTTTAGAGTCTCAAATAGAAGCATTAAAGGCAAATTTAGAGAACGAGAAAAAGAAGGTGGAAAGGTACTGGTAACAGAGTGAAAGGCACTGGTAATGAGACATAATGTGCATTTGTAACTAATACAATATTTAACCATCTGTAAATTTATTATAGGTTTAGGAAGGAAGCAGAACGACTAAGCAAAAACTGGGAAAAGAAATTCTTTATTCTCAGGAACAGGTATGGTGTGATATATACAAATTATATTTCTAAAAACGTGACTAGTCATCCTTTAAGGAAGTTGTGAACCTTGCAATTTTTTTACATATTAATGTTAAATCACCTCATATACTTCTACAAGAAATGCAAAATAATTGGTCTAAAATAGAAGAGTAATCAAAATCACTGAGAAGTGAAATCGTTCAAGGTGTTTTCATTCCCTCTCTGTGTTTCTGTTTTAAAAGATCAGAAGGACAGACAGACTCTCTTAATACCTGGTTTAATCAGACCTATTTAGTCATCTTCTTTCATAGGGCTGTTAAAACCTTTTCCTGCTCATTTGCACACAATGATATGTAACTAGTTTGTATTGTCTTTATAAAGTTGCTTTATATATCAGATCCTCTACCAGACACAACAGCTCCAATTCCTCAACCTCTCAGATCTATTTTTCACTCACATAAACATTTTATTTCTCTTCCCAATATCCTCTTTGCCTTTTTCAAAATGGAGAAAGTGAAACTGTAAAATTCTGAAAAGGACAAAAACGATGCATATCGAAGAAATGGTTATTTTTTCCCTTACCCTAACATGTTAACATGAAAAATCTGTCTTCTGTTTAGTTGTGTTCTGCCATAATTTCCCCCAGATTCTCTTCCTTAACACGTGTGGGAAGTTCTTTTGCAATATTCTTTCACAGTCAAGCATCATCCAGGCACGATGGATTTAATGTTGGTCTGATGGAGGCCATCGGAGGTCAAACTTGAAGCTTACACGTCAGATCTTGGAATGGCAATGCCCTACGTTTGCACTGTTTTTCATAAGCACACACTATGGATTTTGTCTGTATAAACTTCTATACCTGGCTATGTATATTATATGGGAATAATTCATCCTAAGTGAGGGGGCACAAAGAATCCACGCCAAGGCAGAAAAAACACAGGATTGAGAGCAAAAACACCTTGTAGTAAAATGTTCTGCCTTGTTCTGTTTGGTGCTGAAATGATCTCCTACCTGTGTTTCATGTATGTGCTGAAAAGCATTTTGTGCTGTGTAAAATGTGCATATTAACACCTGCCCTGTCTGACATAGTTATTTAAGAACATGTAGATACATGTGAGACAAAAGAAAATGTAAATATGCACTTTATTTCATTTCCCTGCACATAGGTTTTGGATTATCTCTAGAGCTGAATAAAATGACTTTCCCTTATTTATTTCCTTAGGGTTCACTTTCATCCTTAAGATTTACCTTGTCTCTGACCCTACAGGATTTACCCTTTTCTTCAATGATGATTTACGAGAATGTATCAGTTTTACCCTTTTTTTTTTTTTTTGAGAGGGAGTTTTTGCTCTTGTTGCCCAGGCTAGAGTGCAGTGGCGCAATCTCGGCTCACTGGAACCTCTATCTCCTGGGTTCAAGTGATTCTCTGGCCTCAGCCTTCTGAGTAGCCAGGATTACAGGCGCCCACTACCACGCCTGCCTAATTTTCTTTTTTGTATTTTTAGTAGAGATGGAGTTTAAAGTTTTACTTCTAATTGATTTTCTATTAACCAAGATGTTGACAATCATATTAATCATTTTGGTCTCTGCAGACTTTATGTTGATATCTAAATATTTAGGAAAGCAGAAGTATTTATTACTATATACCTTCTATGTTTTCTCATTTAACCAACTAATTGGGACATTGTAGATTATGTCTCTCTACTTAGGCTGCAGCTCCAGTTATTAATTCAATGTGGCATGTACAGCACCGTAGAGAGTGCATTTGTACAGAGTACTTCATCGTGGTATGGTATGGAGATTAATTGTGCAGTCACAGACTTATGTGGGCTAACATGGTAATTTCATTTTACTGTAACTGATCCTAGATTAGATGTACTCATTTTTGTTTAGTAGAGGAAAAACCTCACCTTAGCCAGTCAAGATCAGACTCCAACTCAATGATTTCTCAGTCAATTCATGATTTATATTGGGTCCCAGTCCAATTCAGGGTTTCATTTCCAAGCTCCTTTCCAACTCTGCCGAGTTCTTATTTCCAGGAAGATTGAATGTGAGCAGTGCTGACAAGGGCGGGGATAATTCTTCCTCTTGGTGTGCCAAGCCAGGTGCAGCTGCTGATGTCATCATTATTGCACAAACAGTATGCAGGTGTGGCACATCAGCTTTGGAACATGTCCCTACCTGGCTAATGCCACAGTGACGCCACTGTTCCCACCTCCACCCCAGGCAGCAATCCCCATGCATCCACCTGAGCCACCCTCTGTTCTGCCTGATGGGCTCCAGGCCAGATGGATTCACTTTTGCCCACTATGCTTACCAAGCACATAAATATTACAGGTGGCTCCCGTGCCACTCTGGCTTGTATGTATAGAAGAGGTCCATGCACACATCCCTTCTCCTGCCCTCCCCTCCTCTCCCCACCTGCCTCAACTCAGAGCGCTAGATTGCCATACCAGAGGGACTGCAAACATCAGAAATCTAGATAGGGCATGCAAGGTGAAGGCCCACTCTGCTCATGTAGTCCCCTCACCTTGGAACCCGCTGTAAACAGAAACTCTACACTGCTCCTTACTTCAACAAAGTGAACACCTGTGTTCTCACCACACAGGTGAAGAAAGAAGGAATTAGTAGTAGCTTCATGGTCCCTGTTGCCCATCCAGCGCCTGTCACCTCTCCTCCCAATTAGCAAATATTCTGAATTGAATGTTTATCATTCCCTTGGGGAAAGTTTTCGATAACATTCAATTTGTCCTAAAAATTGGGCTATTCCAATTTTCAGTTTCTTCTAATCAGTTTGATAATTTATGTTGTCTTTTATGTTTGGGAATTTTCTTATTTCATTGAATTGTCTAATTTATTGATATAAAGTTATTCATAATATCATATTATATATATAAATGACAGTCATGTGTCACTTAATGACAGGGATGCATTCTGAGAAACGTGTCATTAGGCAATTTCATCGTTGTGTGAGTATCTTAGAGTGTGCTTACAAACCTAGATGGCATAGGCTACCACACGCCTAGGCTATATGGTATAGCCTATTGCTCCTAGGCCGCAAACCTGCACAGCAGGAGACTGTAACTGAATACTGTAAGCAATTGAAACACAATGGTAAGTGTTTATGTATCTAAATATACCTAAACATAGAAAAGATACAGTGAAAATGCAGTATAAAAGATAAAGAATGGTCCACTTGTATAAGGCACTCACCATGAATGGAGGGTGCAGGAGTGGAAGTTGCTCGGGTGAGCCAGTGGTGAGTGAATGTGAAGGCCTAGGACATTACCATACACTAATGTAGATTTTGTAAACACTAGACACCCAGGCTACACTAGATTTACAAAAAATATATATATTTTTTTCAATAACCAGTCAGCCTTGGCTTACTGTAATTTTTTTACTTTATAAACTTTCTAATTTTTAAAACTTTTTGACTCTTACATAATAACACAGCTTTAAACACATACATATTGTACAGCTATATAAGATTATTTTTTCACATGCTGGTGCACACCTGTAGTCCCAGCTACGTGGCAGCCTGACAGGTGGGAGGATCACTTGAGCCCAGGAGGTTGAGGCTGCAGTAAGTTGGGATCATGCCTTGCACTCCAACCTGGGTGACAGAGTGAGACCCTGTCTCAAATATATGTGTATAATTTTTTCCTTTATATTCTTATTCTTTAAGCTTTTGTCTGTGTTTAAACTTTTTTATTTTTATTTTTTACTTTTTAAAATTTTTTGTTAAAAACTAAGATACAAACACATACACTAGCCTAGGCCTACACAGGGTCGGGATTGTCAAGATGTTACTAGGCAGTGAGAACTTTTCAGCTCCATTATAATCTTGTGGGACCACCATTGTATATTCAGTCCGTCGTTGACTGAACATCATTATGCAGTGCATTACTGTATCTGTAAGATCTGGTGATGTCCCTTTTTCTTTCCTGATATTTGTGTTTCATTACCAAGAATTTGTGTTTTTCTCCTCTTTTCTTAGTCTGTTGGGAGTTATCAATTTTGTGTTATTTATTTCAAAGAAATAATTGCCTTTGCTGAACTTTTCTCATATGTCTTTTCACTGACTTTTTAAAATTTTAATTTTAATTAAAAAACGTTTTTTTCCTTTCTAACTTTTATTTTAGGTCAGGGGTATGTGTGCAGGTTTGTTACATGGGTAACTTGCATGTCACAGGGGTTTGGTGTACAGATAATTTTGTCACCCAGGTAATCAGCATAGTACCTGATAGGTAGTATTTCAATCCTCACTCTCTTCCAAACCTCCACCCTCAAGTAGGCACTGATGTCTGTTGTTCCCATCTTTGTGTCTATGTGTACTCATTGTTTTGACCCACTTATAAGTGTGAACATGGGGTATTTGGTTTTTGGTTCCTGTGTTAGTTCGTTTAGGATAATGGTCTCCAGCTCCATCCACGTTGCTGCAAAGGGCATGATTTCTTCTTTTCTATGACTGTGCAGTATTCCCATCGTGTATATGTACCATGTTTTTTTATCCAGTTTACCATTGATGGGCATCTAGGTTGATTTCATGTCTTTGCTATTGTGAACAGTGCTGCAGTGAACATACATGTGCATGCGTCCTTATGGTAGGACAATTTATACTCCTTTGGGTATATACTCAGCAGTGGAGTTGCTGGATCAAAGAGTAGCTCTATTTTAAGTTCTTTGAGAAATCTCAGACTGATTTCCACAGTGGCTGAACTATTTACATTCGCATCAACACTGTGCAAGGGTCCCCGTTTCTCCACATCCTCACCATCACTTGTTATCTTTTGTCTTTCTGGTAATAGCCATTCCAACAGGAGTGAGGTGATATCTTATTGTGGTGTTGATTTGCGTTTTTCTGATGATGAGTGATATTGAGCAGTTTTTCATATACTTGGCCATTTGTGTGTCTTCTTTCGGGAAATGTCTATTCAGTTCCTTTGTCCATTTTAAAATCGGGTTGTTTTCTTGCTGTTAAACTGAGTTTCTTATATATTTTGGATATTCACCGC